GACAAGTACTTAAATTGTTTTAATGTCCCGAATGCCAGTACACTTTGCCTTAAAAAAATATATTTTGTAATAGTGATTCTTAACAATCAATATTATTCCAAAACCACGATTACTTCATATAAAATTATCAAATGTGGCAAAAAGTTTCCACCACTTTTTTATTATTTACATTTATGTCTAGTTGTGAATAAAATAATAAAAAAAATATTGATCAAATTTCATATTAATATCCCATATTTTTGATTCTACATTATTAAGTTAAAGTTTACACAACGTTATTAAATAAATATATCAATAGAAAGCATAAGTAAATGCAGAGACTAATTGTTTTCAATTAATTTTCAACTCTTAAACATATTATCAGTAATAAATTATTTGTTATTTGAAGTACCTACAAATTATGTAAATACAGTAACACAATGACGATTTATTACTATTATGCTCATTTGGTACACTATTTTAATTTAAACATTATTAGATAAAATGGTTGAGTTAAAATATTTTAAATTTGCCATTAATTTAATAACTTTAACCGTGCCATTAATTTAATAACTTTAACCTGTACTTAATATGTTGAAGTACAAGTTTTTTTATTTTGATCTAAATATACATGTAATTTTATATTAAAATGTACATAAAGGCTGTTTATTTATTTTTTAGTTGGCTTCATTTAAACCGAAACGTATTTGTCTCTAGGTTTTATGAGAGGCAATTGAAAGATCAAATAGAATTTCGTTCTTCTATTTGTAGTTGTATTTTCATTTCAAAAATAAAAGATTTATCCTAGCTCAGTTTTCGAATCAGTGCATCTATTTCCGACTGCAATGAATAATTGAAAGTTGAAATGGCAAGCTGTTTCCGTCATCTAAAAATATATCATGAGCTAATATTAAAGAAGTAATAAATATAGAATTAATTAGTTTTTATTAAATGTGAATTAACCCATTATCTTTTTGTATTAAACATATTATAAGTGACAAGATTTGTTTTGAGTTCAAAAAGGCAATGACTTTCAACAAAGAAATTGAGATGTTTCAATATATATACAAATATATATTATATATAAGCAATTTTAAAGCGTTCCTAAAAGGATAATTACAACCAGTATATTATAATATATGAATCGGATAACGGCTAATACTATATTATAGATTACTTAGTAAGACGCGTTGCGATATGGATGAATAAAAATGAAAGATTATATTTAATGAAAATCATAAAAGAATACGGTTATCTATTATATCGGAGAGTTGACAAGATTGGGAAAGAAAAAATACAAGCTGAACGGTACGATGAACATCTGTATAAAATCGTATGGGAAGGGCTTAAGGCTGCAATTAAGCTTAGAAAATAGATTCAAAAGTGAAGCCGTCTAGAGCATGTATTCAGGGTTATTCAGACCCCCGGATAGTTATTATCCTCGTCTTTTTATCCACTTTTATAACACGCGTACGGCCATGAACTTGTTAACAATGGACGTTAATACAAAAGGCTTTGTGTAGAACCAGATCTATTTGAATGCTCTCATGTAGTTGGTGAAGTTTGAAGATGGATGTTTGGACGCTCGTTTGTAAGTCACGAGTTGTTGCTATAGTTAAGAATAGTTGGAGATATCTTGCTTTGGAATAGAATCATACAATGTACATTGCTATTATAATAATAATCTGTGTTATATTAAATTAAGTACTTTTAGGAAAACTACATATATAAATATATATAAAGGAAAGTATACAATTTCTATATATAAAAATGTCATCGGAGATTCTTTGCGGATAAAACAATCAAGCATCTTGTTTGAGAATTCGAGGGAATCTGACAGGGGACGGCCATTTTGTCAAGACTAATACTCTCAAAAATTTCGCCAGAATCGTTCACGTAAAAGATCCTGTACCCGTGAAACACTGAAGCATTCATCTCAATTAGTGGCGCTTCAACCGACTTGTCACTGTCAAGGAGAACAGAAATAAGATTTATTTATAACCAATAATCATCTAAATTAGTTTTACTGTCCCATTACAATGATTTGATTTAAATCATTTTATTTTTAATTGGACAGTGTCAATTTTAATTATAAAATATTTTATGATGTTCTTAGTTATGATGAGATTTAAGGTTACAAAAATTAATAAGAAATATATGTTAGGTATTATATAAATATGAATTTTACGTATTTCAAGAATAAATCGGAGTGAATGGCACATCCTTAAGAATAGTAGAGTGCTCTTAAAGCCACCGCAAAAACCTGAGATAAAGATCATGGTTGGATTGTGGATTGTAATGAGGTCAAATTGGATTTAATTGTGCCAATTTATTTTAGACTTTCGAGTAGAATGTTTAGAGTTTGAAATAATATATCAATGATTATAAAATAATGATTGAAACATGATCACTTATTATTTGACCATGTTTTATAAATTGGATGTACTTATATTATTGGCAACGAATATACAGGGTGACTGGTGAATTACTATCGATATTTGAGGACGTGATATTTGACGATCATATATGACAAAATAAAAATTAATATAACATAAATATTAATAAACTTCTAAGTAAAGTTAACCGAAAGTTATGTAATTAATTACGCATCGTATGAACACCCTACAGATTAGGTATACACACACACACACACTCGCGCGCGGCGGCGTCTTCTTGTCTCAGCACGCCGCCGCACGCGTTCACACTTGGAACACTTGGAACGTGTCAACACTTTATTTATTTATACGGAAATTTGGTCAAAAATTAAGTCCCTATTTTTTTTACATAATTCTAATGAGAATCATGTACCGAGTATGCTCCTTAAATATTGATAGTAATTCACCAGTCATCCTGTATTAAAAAACTTAAGATATTAAATTTGAATTATCAGTTAAAATTTTTGAAGTGTAGATTATATATGAGATATAGAATGTTATATCATGTCATTATGTCTATATCATATCATTATTTATGCATATATTATAGGGGCATGAATCGAAGATTGGAGAAACGTCAATTACCTTAAAAATCGTTCCAACGAAAATAAACTGAAAAATCAATATTTTATATAGTTTGGATCGCTAAAGTTTATGTGACCTCCTTCTCGTCTTTTGTCAGTAAATTGATTTAAAATTGGACTCTACCAAATTGATGTAAGGTTGAAAATATTTTTCAACACAAAGACGGTCACCTTTTGTTAGAGGTCTTTTGTTATCTTTACCAGTTATATGTACACGTTGGTTTTCGTTTTTTAAGCTTGCTTTACTTGGAGTCATCAATCATAGTTAATGTGAGTTTATTAAAGTGATTCGTGCTTTGTCTTAAAATTAAATTTAGTAACAAGAGATAATACATCCCAATAATATTATAAATATTAAAATTTGTTAGGTAGTATGGAAATTAACACATATGTACATATGTTTATTTATATTCAAGCAATCCACTTTGGTATTGTTTTGATTAAGCTCCAAACATCGATGAATTAAATTAATAAATACGAATTTAAATTTAATTTCTTCTTGGACATAATATTTTTAATGATATTGTATCATAGCAAGTTTCTAATGGAATTATATTGTCGTAGCAACTATGAAACGCTAGAGAAATTTCTATTCCCGTAAAATAAAAATTGTCAGGTGTCATGTTATATTGTTTTCTTTATTAGGTGAAAATAGGAGTCTGAAAGATTAGTGATCTGTTTTTGGTTGAAAGTAATATCTTTATTTTTATTATCCATTACATAATATTTCATTTAACGATATTATTTTTTTTAATGACTTATCAAATGTGAAGGAATTTCTAAGTGGCATTACCATTTTATAAAGTTAATGAGATGAAGCAAAAAATAATAATTCTTTGACTTAATTTTATAATATTATTTTTAATACGAATGAAAATAACGTATTAGTTATACCAAGAACTTCTTAAGGGAGAAAATTAAGTAATCTGATTATTACAAATCCTAGTCAATATTTATTTGTAGATTTTCTTGCTTACTGCTTTCTATTCATAAAATAGGTCGCTACAGAACTTTACTTAAAAGAAGTTTAAAGTAGTTTTGGTATTAATTTAAACATTTCCTAAATTAATTGGAATTTCAAATAGGGTTGAAAGGGTAGATTCCGACAAGTTTTCAAACAACTTTTTGTAGCTCTGGCTTTTTTGCGTCTTTTTGTTATTCGATTTTAGTAAGTCACTAAATTCAATTTCGTATCGAAATAAAATAATATTTGGACTATATTATGTTATGAAATCGTATATTGATTTTAAAGTATTTACCTATAAATATGCATTGCAATTACATATTTTCTTCTTTTTAATAGATTCCAAAAAGAAATTTATTAAGAGTAATATTTAAGTACCAATAACGACGATCTTAGGATCAAATCCTCATTCAGCAAATTGATTAGTATTTTTTACTATTACATTACATAGATCCAAATTTGACACTCTTCTAATAATAAAAAAATGATCGCGTTAGTAATTATATAGTGTTTTTTTAAACTATACAACGATTAAAATGAAAACCATATTTAGTATAACTAAATTATTTGAATAATCTAAACTTAATTAGTCGTTCAGTTTGATCAATTAATATTGTAATGTATTCAAATGTATACGTAATATGATTAATTTATTGATTACACTAATCAAATAAATATTTGATGATTGACATTTCCAAAGTTTTCATACATTTGTTAATATTTAATATTCATCAATAATAATTTCTTCTAAATAAATTTTCAGTTCGTTAACGAAGACGAAACTTTAACTTTTTTAGTCTATTTATAGTTGAAAGTAGAATATATTACAGAAGCTATTATTAAAAATCAATATTCAAAACTGTAGGTATATCTGTGTTGTCGTAAAGTTGTAATTAGCCTGAATATACTATTAGGATATTTCGTATATATTTTACAATTTTAGAAGGTCACTTTATTATAGGTTATACGAAGCTTTCATCAAAATTAATATATACTTCAACTAGTCTCTAATTAGAGAAAAATATTATAATAACTTACCTAATTCAGAACCGCAGACACGAGGTATGATTTCCAAAATGGCAGAGCACGAGGCATCTTCAAAGCATAGTTGTCTCGCTAAAAGGCAATTCAGGATCGCCATAGTGCCTTTTATACCCGGCCCTGAAAAGAAAAATCTGTTTAATATAATCTTTTTATATATAAGAAGCTAGTTCTCAGAAAATCATGAACAGTTATTATACTTTTTATATAAAAAAACTGTACACCGTTGAATCAAATTAGACTAAACAAATTGGATCCACGGTTTTTTTTTGTATTTAAAAAAGAGGACAGAGATAAGCTTTTTTAAATTAACCTCTAATTATTTTCCATTACATCTTTATAGTGATAAAAAAATATTTTTTAATGTACTTATGAGTTTGTATAAAGAATGATCTAATTACCTGTTGTCTGAGATAGAATTAGAGAAATGTTTTTCTAAATGTTCCCAAAAATTTTTAGACACATAAAAGGAATTATTTGTTATTATAACCTTTTAATTAAATAAATATGACTATACTTGTAAAACTCTGGTTTAACATATTGAAAAAATCTTTTAGAATATCGTAATAAAACAGGGTTTGGTATTTGTTACACTAATTAGAAAGCCTATAACATAAAAAAATTATAGATATGGAAGGTTCTTGATATTTTTCATTTAAACTTAACAAATATTTAACTTAATAAGGGTGAATGGATAAGTAAGTATTAAAGTTTTCCGAAGTATATGTATTTAACGTTCAATTAAATATGAAGAATAGATTAATAAAATGAATCCTGTATATATGTACATATATGCTTTAAGTCAGTGGTGGCCTAGTGGTTAAAAGGCCCGCCTCTCATACACGAGGGCGCGGAATCGATCCTGGCAAGTACCAATGTGATTTTTCCGACTCATATGTACTCTCTAAGAGTATTTAGTCATCACTGATTAATGCATTTCCAAAGAGGGTTGATGTCAGGCAGGCGGCCGGTCGTAAAAGCAATTAGCCAAAACTGTTAACACGTAAGGCAGACCTTGGCTAAAGCTGGTAAATTGACAGGAAGAAGAAGAAGATATAATATATATACATATTATGTATATGCTTGCTAAATCCTGTTAACGCAAATGTTGTCTGTGGTTTTTTAATATTTGCGCAGCACTTATCTCTCCTGATTTTTTTGGCTGATATTTTTGTTTATAAATAAAATTAATATACTTTTTTAATGCTGTGGTTTCATTCGCACTGGAATTATGGAATATTTTGACAGGGTCAACGTATTTATTTGTCGTACGAATTATAATCATCAGTACTGGGTGGAGAAAACATGAAGGAGTTTATTGAATTTAATGAAGGCGTTTATTTAAATATTACTATTTCATTATCAAAAGAAGATCCCAGTCATATTTTTAACAGCATCTATAACAACAGTTTTTATACTTATGCTCAGAATTTCTGATGACGATCACGTACGAATGTCAAATAATAATTAGAAAATGTGTATTTATTTGTCAAAAGCAATTCTTATAGATGTACCTATATAGGTTATTAAATAAGATTAGAAAGGTCAACTTGGTGTCAATCTTATTTCAAAGATTAGTTTTTTTAAAGAAAGACATTAGTTTTCAAAACATATAATAAAGAGTTTCAATGCCTAGTAGCAATTCTTTCGGAATTTATTTATGATCACTAAACAAAGTAGGTAACGATATTATTTCATGACTATTAAATAATAGCAGAATATGTGATGTTTTACTTTCAATAGAACAAAAGCATAATTTTATATTTTTCATTAAAATTGCTAACAAATTACTTTCAAACGAATGACCTTACAGTTCAATGATAAAAGAATTATTTGTAAGGTTATTGTCAATATTTGTTTTCATCGAATCATACATAATATAAAGTTTTGACAGTGCAACGTATATGTAATGTTTTATGAAAATTTTAAATGTGTTTTACATAATTGAACTCACGGACATCCCTACTAATATTATAAATGCGAAAGTAACTCTGTCTGTCTGTCTGTCTGTCTGTCTGTCTGCTACGCTTTCACGCCTAAACCACTGAACTGATTTTAATGAAATTCGGTACAGAGATAGAGTTGACCTTGAGAAAGAACATAGGATAGTTTTTATCCCAGACTTTTGAAAGGTTCTCTTGGAAACGCGATATAACCGAACTCCACGCGGCGAAGCTGCGGGCGGAAAGCTAGTAAAATAATATAATAGTAAATCTTCTTCTTCTACCTGGCATTTTCCTAGCTTTAGCCAGGGTCTGCCTTACATGTTGTGAATAGTTTTGGCTAATTGTTTTTACGATCGGCCGCCTGCCTGACATCAACCCTCTTTGGGAATGTATTAATCAGTGATGTCTAAATACTCTTAGAAATACATATGACTCGGAAAAATCACATTGGTACTTGCCAGGTTCGAACTCACGCCTTCATGCATGAGAGGCAGGCGATTTAACCACTAGGCCACCACTGACTTATAATAGTAAATATTATATGAAAATAATATACAATTGTACAATAGCTAATTCGGAGGTTGATTTTAACATTAACAATGAATGAATTTAAAGATTAAAATAACTTGAAAGTTCATAAATTAACCAATCTAATAAGTAGACCATTTTAAAAATAGCATATTTATTAATGAAATGAAATTACGACCTGAAGTTTTAAACAACAAAAATAAAAAGCAGTCCTTGATATATTTTCATAATTTGGTTTGATTGATAATTATGGATAATTATCAATCAAACCAATATGGATAATACCCTTCATTAATTTTCATTTAATAATACTATTCTGCAAGAAAACCATCGTGAGGAAATCTGGACTTAGAATTTCAAATTGAAAGTTTGAAATCGCCAACCCGTCTTGACCAAGCGTTATAATGCTCAAATCTTCTACATGTGTGAAAAGGCTTTTGCTCAGCAGTGGAAAGAAGCATAGAGCAGTGGTAGATAGGCTGATGATGAATACTATTCTGGACTATTCAAATCAAATGTAGATTTAAAAAAAGAGAAATGTTTAAAATGTTACACTCATTTTGTGTATTTGTTGAATAGTGTATATAAACGGTAAAAAATATTCAGCAAATTGACCTGTCTTCTATCCATAGATGGGCACAATAGTGGACGATACGAAATACATATATTGCGAGTGAAAAACACACTCATATAGAAACTTTCGAGTTAAAAACGTGGTACTTTCTTTTAGTACAATTAATTTTAAGTTTGTTTGAAATCACTTTAAAAACAGCCTAAAAATATACGCTCGTTTTCCATTCCAAAACTGGTCCAGTCTCGTCTTATCGTAATATCTCGTAGAATATTCTCGAACCTTGCATTCATCGTTCGATCGATACGTATCTCGGCTATTCTGAAAACAAGATATTTTCAGAACTGGTCTCAATTATTCCGCTACTGAGTTGCGCTACATTAATTTGCTTTTAGCGAGTTCTAATTATTTAGTTTTTTTAACTGTTCAATAAAAGTGCAGTTGTAAAGTTTTTGTTAATATTATAAGGAAATAAATGCTACTAAACTAAATTTAGTTCAAATTATTTCGGTGGAAAAGTAATCCGTTTACACAAAAATAGAACAAAAGTTACATTTTCATTAACGACATATTAAATATTTTTGAATTTCAGCTAATAATTCTATACTTAAAGGTTGATGAAAATTCATGTTAATTTTCTGATAGAAACTCCACTTAACCGGTTTTTATATATTTTATTTAAGTTCACATCATGCACTTGGAATAAAACCAAACTATAAAAATATTGTAATAAAACAAATTTAAAAATATAATATAATAATGCAATACTTAATAAAATGCATTAGTCTAGTCTCCTTCATCACCACCCTCTTCTTCCTCATCGAATTCTCCCTCCTCTTCAGCGGTAGCATCCTGATACTGTTGGTATTCCGATACCAAATCGTTCATGTTACTCTCAGCCTCTGTAAACTCCATTTCGTCCATACCCTCGCCAGTATACCAGTGCAAGAATGCCTTGCGTCTGAACATGGCTGTAAATTGTTCAGAAATTCGCTTAAACAGCTCCTGAATCGCGGTAGAATTTCCTATGAACGTGGCAGACATTTTCAGACCTCGTGGCGGAATGTCGCATACGGCTGTCTTAACATTATTGGGAATCCATTCAACGAAATAAGAGGAATTCTTGTTCTGTATGTTCATCATTTGTTCGTCAACCTCTTTCATAGACATTCGGCCTCGGAAAACTGCAGCTACTGTTAAATAGCGACCGTGACGTGGATCGCAAGCAGCCATCATATTTTTCGCATCAAACATTTGTTGGGTCAATTCTGGAACAGTCAGGGCTCGGTATTGCTGGCTGCCGCGAGAGGTTAGTGGTGCGAATCCAGGAATAAAGAAGTGGAGACGAGGAAACGGTACCATATTCACTGCCAACTTCCTCAAGTCAGCATTCAACTGACCAGGGAATCTTAGACAGGTAGTAACTCCCGACATAGTTGCTGATACAAGGTGGTTTAGATCTCCGTAGGTCGGTGTAGTCAGCTTAAGCGTGCGGAAACAAATATCGTACAAAGCCTCATTATCGATACAATACGATTCATCAGTATTTTCAACAAGCTGGTGAACAGATAACGTGGCATTGTATGGTTCTACAACCGTATCAGACACCTTGGGAGAAGGAACAACGCTGAAGGTATTCATGATACGATCAGGGTATTCTTCCCTAATTTTTGATATAAGCAATGTTCCCAGCCCAGCACCTGTACCACCTCCAAGAGAATGCGTCAATTGGAAACCCTGAAGACAATCACAACCCTCCGCTTCCTTCCTAACGACATCGAGAACAGAGTCCACCAGTTCTGCCCCTTCAGTGTAATGGCCTTTTGCCCAGTTATTACCCGCACCCGATTGTCCAAAGACAAAATTATCGGGACGGAAAATTTGGCCAAAAGGTCCTGAGCGAACAGAATCCATAGTGCCCGGCTCGAGATCAACCAAAATGGCTCTAGGAACATATTTGCCTCCAGTTGCTTCGTTGTAATATACATTTATACGCTCCAATTGAAGGTCGGAGTCACCGTGGTATGTGCCAGTTGGATCGATGCCATGTTCGTCTGATATAACTTCCCAGAACTGGAAATGAACGATTTATGTTACTGCATAGTTACACAATATGCCTCTGAACTACTGTATGAAGTAGTTATACTGCTATTCATTTATCAAACCCATTAGGTTTCATGTTTGTAATTCTATTAAGTCTCAAAACGATTAATCGTTTTCTTAAGATCTACGTCTTCACCTTAAAATCTGATAATTTATTCATAAAAACCTTTTAATAATTTTATATATCGGTATACTAAAAATATCGCAGTGAAAAGATTCATCGTTAGAACAAAATGTCGGAAAATTTATATTGTTGAAAAAAATATATTTATCTAATTATGAAAATGTATAAGTATACAAATTTAATTCAGAATATACACACCTTAGCTCCAATTTGATTTCCACACTGGCCTGCTTGTATATGCACGATTTCCCTCATCTTATTTACTGATTAATATTATATTCACTTAAATAATCAACCCTTTCAACCGACCGCAGTATCCACGACCTACTGGACAGTTCGACTTAAAACAAATGCAACATATAATATTTGAATTTGTTCTTATTATTTTTATCATGTAGTTTTTTCTTCATTTTTTTCAAATTTTCTTTAACTTGAAGTATTGTAACTATGGAGGTTTTTATTTTGCTAATCAAACTATTCTTATTTCCCTTGGAGATCTATTGGCAGAATAAAGTAAGCGCTATTACTATATTACAAGCTTAATACACCTTTTGTTTTGTTATGGTCTGTTGATTTTTTCCTCCATAATATTTTTGCCTAGACATATGAGTATTAGATTGTTTAAAATATTTACGTTACTTTCAAATATGTAATCATTGCAAATGGGATTTAATCTCAAGATCATTCAATAATAAGAAATTCTTGTAACCTTTGCAAATGACAGATGACAATTCCAAGGCTTTGTATCAGTTTTTATACCATGGAAAACAAATACTTTCCAGCATCTCTGACAAATTTATCTATTCAACGAATAGAAAGTCTTTGATTGTATTTTAGTACTAATCTACTTTGGAGTCCCGTCAATCATTAACCTTAGAAGTGATATTTTCGGAACGTAACCATTTTAAGTACTATCTATAAAAGAAACTGAAAGCACAGGCTGTTCCTTGAATGAGATTATACTTATTTAGAACCTAAGCGATTTTAAAATAACTTTTGTTCCTTCATAAACCCAGTCACTCACAGTTGAATTTTACTATTTCTGTGATACTATCCTATTTGTGAGCTCTAACTTGATTTAAGTTATAAATATTTATATACTGACACAATTCAGCAGTCTCTAAAATTATGTTTGTGATTCCATATATATTTTTAAACAGTGTGAACTCTAAGCCGCAAATGTTTATGTTATGTGAAGGGGTTATTCAATAGAGATTTCTCTCAGAGCTCTGTGGTAAAGCTGAATTCGAAATACGGATTTGTATTTCGTGCACACATTGCAACTTTTATACTTATATATTGAAAGGATTAGTTAGAGATTAAGGGTTGTTGAATTGCTTTCAAAGATTTCACTTTGAGTAAATCACTGTTTACCTTTCCATTTCGGATTATATTAGAATCGGTGTGTATTTTTAATGAGTAAAATGTCTTTTCAACATTTGTTATCTCTTTTCATACATAAAATGAATACATGAAGAGAAATTTTGTCTTAGAAAATTTTAGAATAAAATTTATATGTATTGACAAAAATTTTATAGATATATTTGTGCTTTATGATTTTCATTGTAATAGCTTTGTTTTGCTATGATTAAAGTGGTTTGATATATTTTTTTTATTTAAATGTACAGCTAATAATTTTAAAAACAGAGGTAGCGAGAAGGATACAGGATATTTTCTATGTAAATAATAAATTTATTCCGAGTGAAAATGTAGAAATAATTTAAAGTTTACACATAAGTTTAACTTAAGAATTTATATTAATATTAATACTTGCATTATTGAATGGATTATTATCAATTTGTTACTTGTTCTAACATATTAAGAAATAAATGAACATCGCCGGGGCGCTATCGTCGTATGGATAAAATATCATATAACGAGTGACGCTGCTGACTCCGCGGAACGAACACCAAGCCGTGTGAACCAGAAGATTCCTGATACCACACAAGCAATGGAATGGTATTGCTATCCTAACATAGGAGCAATCATGTAGTACTAGATATAGGTAATAAGTTTTAATTTGTATTTTTTTATAATATACATATAAGTAAGTTCGGTAGTTTTCCTGGAACCTCCGGTCGCCACTGTATACAATTAATTCCATGATACAAACATAACGTAGTATAAATTATAATAATATTATGTAGAATCAAAATTGTATCACAGTACACATTGTTATTCAATGTTTATGTTGGCGATGTATGTAACTTTTGTTAACGTAAGTATTATGGACATAGTATTTGTAGACAAAATATAGAGCGGTTAATACCACAAGTAAAAATAGGAATACATAAAAACTCTTCATAAATGGGTGGCAATATGTGAATATGTTTTCTAAATTGTTTAGTAAAATAATTAAATACACTAAGTCGAATTACCTATTTAATGTAATTGAGGGTTTAAAATTTTATAAATTTCAAAATAGAAAAGCATTCTCATTATTTTCTCCAATATCTTAACCAAATTTGTATATTTTGTTGAGTAATTTTAAAAAAGTATGCGGTTTCCAATTAGGTTGTTTATATATTTTTTGTACTGACCTATTTTATTTTAATGATTTTTCCTTTGCTGGAAGAATATATGCCAGGCTTAGTTTTATGGTAGAAAAAGTAGCACCTATTGATCGCATTTTAAAGTAATCGATAGGAAGCTCTAAAAATTCGTAGCCAGTTCGAAAATGTTATCACGGACTTACCTACGTAGTTTTAGTTTCAGTTGAATTCTTGGGGTAAAATCTATTCTATGTAACTCCCTACATTTCAGACTATGTCCAAAAAGAATTTGATTCAAATCGGTTCAGTAGTTTTTGATATTACACAACTAGTATTTTATATGACAATCTTTTACTCTACCTAGCAATTTCCCAGGTCTGCCTTACATGTTGTGAATAGTTTTGGCTAATTGTTTTTACGACCGGCCGCCTGCCTGACATCAACCCTCTTTAGGAATGCATTAATTAGTGATGTCTAAATACTCTTAGAATGTACATATGACTCGGAAAAATCACATTGGTACTTGCCCGGGCTAGGACCGAACCCGCGCCCTCGTACATGAGAGGCGGCCTTTTTAATCACTAGGCCACCACTAACTTAGTATTTTATATGACAATATGATATATGAATCCGTCTGACTATAATAATAGGTATGTCTATACGTGATAATATTGTAATAACAGCTTTGTATATATTTGTAATTACCCAAATGTACTTCAACGAGTTCAAAGTCGATCCTAGCCAGATAAGCCAGCCGCTCTGGAAAATTAAATTTCAACAAATGGACATGTGTGTACGTGTGATGAATGTAAAGTTTTTTTACTCCCAATTTCTTTAAATTCAATGTAGCCTATACATTACTTTGTAAGCCGTCTTATTGTGTCTTTATATTTAATATAGATTATCTAAACATTTTTATTTTAGTCACACTTTTCTCGTACTATCTAATGTAGTTACTGTAATAGGTTTTATTATATCAATGTTCACTCATCGTGATGGATATATACATAATACGGAGTATTTAAAAATACCGCTTCATTTAAAAACCAAGGTAATAGTTAAACTTAAAGAGTAAGTTTAAGAAAGCTGGGATTAAAACAGTATTTGGAAGGTGTTTTAAGCTTAATTTTTTGTAAGAAGAAACTTATGAAAAAATATTTATATATTGTGATGTTGATGGCAACATAAATAAGGATTTAGTTTTGGAATTATTCAAGTAAAATATAATATTTAACACAAATTTAATTTATGATATTATAGAATCAGTAGAAAAGCATAAATTATGTAATCCATTCTACAATATATGTTTATCAGATACGATATCTAAGTTTTAAAAATTTAGGTCATAAGGCAATTTTTCAAAACTTCTCCATGTGAGAAAGAGGCCTTTGCTCAGCAGTGGGCGTTCATAGGCTGATGACGAAGGTCATTTTATATATACAAGCTACATCCTGATACTTTTATACTAAGTTCCTAGCTTTACTTTTAGCAAAGTCTGTTTTTTAATATAAATAAAAATATGCTAAAACACAGATTAAAATACAGAAAGACTTCTAGAGATAATCTTTCACAGAATAGTTGAAAATTCTATAGCCGTTCTTTTATTATTTTTTATTATGCATTACATATGTTTATTTTGGTCATACATTCGTCGGTCAACGATGTCTATCAGAGTCGGATTAAATCTCATTTTATCTGATTAATTAACTAATGTGTCTCATACAATCTCAATAAAAATTTCATTATTATTTTGGGAATATATATATTTCTATAGTTTTAATGAAACGAGAAATATTGAGTAAAGTTTAAATTATAAAAACTACTTTTGTTCTAACTCAAATATTAAAACATTTCATGCCTTTCAGCAGATCTAAATTATTTTAAATATTTTTGAATATTATTCTCTTATAACCAAGTAATGGGGGACTGGATTTACTTTTTCCTTCAACCAAATATCATCGTTCTGATTTTCATTAAATATGTAGAAGTAGTTAGTTTATTATAATTCTTTTGAAAAATTGTAATAACCTTAATCATTTTGGATCAAAATGCTGTAAATTATTTAATAAAACTCGGAAAAGTAAAAATTGCAGAAAAAATAGCTTTTATAATTCGTTCCTATAGCGGAAATTCTAACACATTTAGGTAAACGCAAAACCATCTGCTAAGATGTACCTACTTCAACAATCTTACATGTCTTTCAATTGGCATGAATTATTTTTGAAGTATCTTAATTTTCAAAATATATTTTTTACATTGAAACAATGTTAATATATATGTATTCCGGAGGTCACTGGTTCGATTCCTGCTCGTGTGGTATGCTTTATGTTATTTAATTGCATTTCCATACACAAATATTTCTGTGTGAAAATAAATGTGAAGTGACAACAATGACAAACAGTTTTAATGAACAACATAAGTGCAAAAAAATGTAAGTGAGCTAAATTCAAAACAAAAACTATATAAAAAGTAGATTAAAATTTCACTTCATACAGTTAGTTCTTAAACAACATGGTCAAAAAGAGCACAAAATAAATAACGAGACCAACAGTAAGGTCGTTTATTGTTAGAATCCAATTCAGCATTAAAGTTTTGACACGAACCTCATTTAAAATTAAATTTAAATTAGTGATGAGCGAAATTTTCGCATTGCATCCTATCCTAAATGTTATCACCTGAATTTGGTTTCGCTTTCATTTGCAAATGTAAAGGATGTTGCCTCTTTAGTGAATGAAAAAAAATTAGTTTGAAATAGCCTATTTTATTCATTAATTATTCAATGTCAAATAAAGATCTGCACGATGACAAAATGTTGCAAATTTTTGCAAAGGAATATTTCTCTGAGAACGAACCAATTAATTTGGAAATACGAAATCTAAGAAGTGAATGTTACTTTTTAACATATAATTTATAAAAGCAAATATGTACACTTTAGTCGTTTATTTTTGAAACAAAAAATACCACGTTAAATTGCGGTTAGTTGCTTCTTAACTTGATTGTGACAAACGAATTTATGTTTTATTTGTATAGTAGGAAGGCTCATAAATAGTGGTTAGTCAAGTATACATAATTCCCGGGTTCGGTTCAGTCAAGTTCGCCCATGTAACTACAGTTTACATATATTTACATAGTTGAACGACATTTGCTCGGGTCGGGCAGATTGTTCTGTTGTTTGAACGAACTTCGGGGTTCAGTAGATTTGCCTGATTTGAAGGGGGGAAGCTTGCATTATACAAAGTATATTAGGGATAGTTTTTTCCGCTTCGAATAATAAAGTGGAAACTTTTACTTCCATTTTCTGTAAACAAGTTATTTTAAAGGAATTATTCAGCTATTAAACTATATTATAGCAAAAAACTTTGAAGATAATTCTCGAACATACTAATACTGTATTTCGAAGCAATGTATAGATAGATTTCAAATGTTAATTGTATTTCGAGATTATGATATCAAAACTAAGTTACGTAAATGTGATACTATCGTTTTCATATCAAAACTGAAGATCTCTAATTCCGTGTCACAGACATCATTAATAGTCTGTCAGGGTACCGCATTTGCATATCCAATGTCACTCGCATTCAGCAAATAGTTACTTTATATTTGAGGCACTACTTTATATTACGGCTGTGGAATATAATTTTAAGAATATATCACTGCTCGTATAATATTTTCATAATTTTTAATAAGGTGGACGTATAAAAATCATTTATATTAGAACTTATTTTATTTTATATGTATAGATTTATGTTGAATTAAAATGTAACAGAACTGAATTCTATTTAAAATAATGAGGTCGTGGTGGTGAGTTATGTAATTATAGATTTATTTATGAGTTATAACTGCCCAATACTATGTGTAATTTTGCTTTAAAAAGTGTCTTTACTATAAAA